GCCGGGGGGGGGGGGAGAGAGGGGGGGGGGCGGGGGGGGGGGGGGGGGGGGGGGGGTCCGCCGGGTCCTAGCGCCGCCTTTCCCAGGCAGGCAGGCAGACAATGGGGGCCCGGCTGTGGGGCGAGGCGGGGTCCTAGCGCCCTTGTTTTCCCGCTGCCTGAACGCCCAGGGAAGGGGCAGATCCCCCCCCCCGCCAAGAGTGCGAGCTAGTGCGCCGCAGCCCTAGGGGTCACCTAGGAGCTGCGAGGTTTATCTCGCCGCGCTGAGTTTATAAATTAAACGGGGGGGTGGGGTGTCAGCCTGATAGATCCTACTCAGTAGGTGGAGATGTCTGTGGGCTGCTGTGGGACACTCGGTGAATGCTCAGAGGCACTTCATCTCCCAGAGGGAGGGGCCATGGCCTAGAGGCTGAAAGTCCCAGATTCAATCCCAAACAGCATCTCCGGTTCAAAAGACCAGGTGTTTATGGGATTGCTGCCAGCGTGGACCGAACAGACCTTGACGGGCCGGCCAGGGTCTGACTCAGGGCCAGGCAGCTGCCTGTGTGTGGGCCCCCCTAGTGACCACAAGTCCTCCTCCTGGGGTGGCTCCTCCTTCACTCTGGAACCCACGGGCTGCCCACTGCTGCCTCCACCCGGTTTTTGGTGCCAGGTGAAGACACTTCCTTTTAAGCGGGCTCTTCCTAGAGGGGTTTTGTTTATCTGCACTGTATAGCCCGCCTTTCTCACATTATGGAGTGTGAAGGATCCAGTTAAGAAGTATAAGAACAACCAACAATGCAGCTGTAGTTTCTGACCTAACCGAGAGCAGCAGACCCACGGAGAGTGCATCAGAGTAGGCTAGGTCTCAAGGTCTCCATGGCGTGTATCCAGGGCTATTTTTGGGCAGGAACGCACAGGAACGAAGTTCCGGCTGGCTCCCGAGTTGGCCACGCCCAGCAGGAACTCATTAGCATAATAGGCCACCCACAACAGCAGGAACGCATTAGGATTGGCTACATTAGGGGTGTGTGGCCTAACATGCAAAGGAGTTCCTGCTACAAACAAAGGCCCTGGGTTTTGACAACAACCAAGGTCAACAGAATAACAAGCAAAAGGTGGGTGTGGCTGGATGACCACACTTCTGGTAACATGGGGGTGCGGCCTAATGTGCTAATGAGCTGTGCTGTCAGGGGTGTGGCCTAATATGCTAATGAGTTCCTGCTGTTGGGTGTGGCCTATTATGCTAATGAGTTCCTGCTGGGCTTTTTCTACAAAAAGATCCCTGCGTGTATCCATGTGGCCAGACCCACTGAGTCAGTGCCGGGAGCCCTCTCCTGGGTCAAATGAAGGTGGAAGGAAGCCCTTTTCATCGCTGCATTCACTTGCTTCTCCAGCAACAGTGCAGGGTCCAGGATAACCCCTGGGCTCAGCTGGACGCCCTCACACACGGACACCCGTGAAGTTGCCTTATGCTGAAGCAGACCATCCATCCAACAAGGTCTGTGCGGCACACTTGGACTGGCATCTGGTCCCCGGGGTCCTAGGCGGAGGTCTCCTACACAGGGCCGGCTCGCCTGCTAAGCGAACTAGGCCTTCACCTAGAGCGCAGCCGGCCGTTAGGGGTGGGAGGAGAGGCAGGAGCGCACGAGCCTGGCCAGCAGCTGGGACTAGCAAGGCTGGGAGGAGCTCTGCCGCCTGGAGGACGCAGTGGCAGTGTGGGCAGGACGCAGCGCTTTCCTCCCCCCCTGCCGCCGCCGCCGGGCGCCCCAAGCCCTCAGCGGGGAAGGGGAGAGAGGACGAGTGCCCGAAGCAACCAGTAGGGCACGGACAAGCGGGAGAGGCTGCCGCTGCTCTGGCCTCCAGCTCTGCCCTCTCCAGAAGAACCCAAGGTGTGCCTCCCGCCCTCCTCCTCCTTTCCCGCGTTGTCCCTCTGCCGCCCTCCTCCTCTCTCTGCCGACACCCCCCCCCGCCGGTCTTCGCACGGGCTCCTTGATTGGCTGGCACCGTTGGCTCCCGGCACACGCCCGAGGCCTCGCATGTCAGCCCTCCGCTCTGGTGCGTTTCCAGCCTCCCTCCGGGGAGTGAGCCCGGGCAGGCCTTCCTTCCCCGGCTGCTGCGGCTGCCGCCGCCTCCGCCACACAGGGCTCCTGAGGCGCCGGGACTGGTGGCTACCCCTTCGCCTCTTATAAGGAGCCTCTTATTAAGAGGCCTCACATGCCAGCCCTCCGCTCCGGTGCGGTGTGTGTGTGTGTGTGTGTGTGGCGGCATCACATCGTCTTCCCTCCCCTCCTCCTTCCCCTCTGTCCGCAGGACTGCGGGGCTCAGTCACCACCCCCTATAGGGGGTGGCGACCGGCGATCCATCATCCACGCTCGGATCACGCAGAGAAACTCCTTTGTCACGAACGGCGCCGCCCTCTGCTCTGCCTGGGGTGCCCGGGCTCTTATTCTGAAAGGGCGGCCCCGCTGCCCCTTGAAGCCCTGGTCTCCCCCCCCCCCACACACACACACCCCGCCCGCTTTCCTCCTCCCCCCTGCCGCCCTCTTTCTCTGTCTCTCCTGCCCGGCTGCGGGGGGGGGGCGTCTCCAGGCCCCGCCGGGAGGTTGGCATCTGCGCTCGCCTAGAGCGCAGGACAACCTCGGGCCGGCCCTGCTCCTGCATCGCCTCCTGCCCGGTCCTTTTAATGAGATGCTGCCGGGTTTTGAACCTCGGACCTCCTGCATGCCCAACAGGGGCTCTGCTGCTCAGCCACGGCCCCACCCGTAAAGGTGGGAACCACCTCATCCTTCGAGGCCTCAGCGTCCTCAGCCAGCAGCCCCTCCATTTTGTCAGGATTCAGCTTGTTTACTCTTTATTTAGGTCAGGGCTCTAGTCGGGGGGGAGCTCTCAGGTACGGAGCTCCGGAAGAGAACCTCTAGGGGGCGGGGCGGTCACGTGGTGAAGCCCCGCCCCCTTCTTTACCCCGCCCTCTGCTTCGATCCTCATTCCGTTTGGGAATGAGGATGAAGCAGGAGGGTAAGTAGCCGGGCCTTCTGACACACTTCCGGTGATGTCAGGGGGTGTGGCCTTCTGTCACTTCCGGTGATGTCAGGGGGCGTGGCATATGCAAATAAGTTATGCTAATGAGTTATGCTAATGAGCTCCGGCAGCTCTTTTTCTACAACAAGACCCCTGATTTAGGTATTAAAGCATTTCTATCCCGCTGTTGCTTGTGACCCAAGGCGGCTTCCTGAGAAGCCATCTCCCCCCCCCCCATGCACTGGGTGCGACAGGTGACGCCTGCCCTTCCCCGACGCCTCGTGATTGGCAGGGCTCTGCCTGGCACTCCGGCCTGTCGGTGCAACTTGCAGAGGGACAGGAGCCTCACTAGACGGAGGGAGCCAGCCTCCCGGCTCACCTGCCCAGGCATCTGGATCCCCGATGATGCTGATCCGTGACTGGGGCTCTGTCTGGGGGTTACACACACACACACACACACACACACACCGCCAACTGAGGGCTGAGGGGAAGGTCAGGTGAGGCTGGATGTGGTGGGTGGGCCCTGTGGCAGAACGGGCCTGCACTAGCCAGCAGGCCCTGGTCCACCCTGCCCTCCGAGGCTTCCCCCATGCCTGGAAAGGCTTTCCTTTCTCCAATAACCCGCCACCCCCACCTGACCTTTGTAAGGAGTTGCCCGCTGGGAGGATCGGGGCTCCCAGCTTCCCTTCCAAGATCTGAGGGCTTGCTTCTGTGTCCCCTGCTGCCCAGCGCCTGGTCACCACAGGGACAGTTTATTGCCTTGTGCGCTCCTGGAGGAATAGCCACTTGCCAACTGCCTGCCTTCCCCCGGCACTCCTTTGAAATAGTGTGTCCAAGGCAGTGGAGGTCTATATCAGGGGTGTCAAACATGTGGCCCAGGAACCGGATCAGGCCCCCACAGGGTTTCTATCAGGTCCGTCCTGAGTCTTCTGCTTCTTCTTCCAGTTCTGCTGCGTCATTGTAGGTTTGCAGCTTACAGATACACACCTGTCAGTTATCAGACACTGTTAAATAAAATGTTACTCAGGGCAGTTTACAACAACACAACATCCAATACAATTTTAAAACTAGTTAAAACTACAGAATTCAGTATTAAAATATTCAACATAGATATTTAAACATTTTAAACAAGATGGCATATTTAGCATCCAGATCTTCATGGGGGGGACGGGGACTCTCAAGTGCACCTTCATGCTCAGATTCACATATTTCCTCACACGTATATACCTCCTTAACATATCATGCGACTCCTCCACCCTTCCTTATTTCATAGAATCATAGAACCATTGAATTATAGAGTTGGAAGGGACCTCTGGGGTCATCTAGTCCAACCCTACAATGCAGGAAACTCACAAATACCTCCCCCTCCACATCCGCAGTGACTGCTGTTCCAGGCCCAGATGATGACAAAAAAACCTCCAGGTTCCCAGACCAAATTGGCCTGGAGAAAAATTGCTTCATTACCCCAAAGTGGCAATCTGCAACTCCCTGAGCGTGTAAGGAAGGGCCACAAGAACTCAGCACTGAGGCAACCCTTCCTGCCCTCCATCTCATGATCTGCCTTTCACACAGTTAGCATTGCTGTCAGATAGCCATCTAGCCTCTGTTTGAAAACCTCCAAAGAAGGAGAGCCCACCACCTCCCAAGGAAGCCTGTTCCACTGAGGAACTGCTCTGTCAGGAAGTTCTTCCTGATGTTTAGCTGAAAACTCTTCTGATTTAATTTCAACCTGTTGGTTCTGGTCCGACCTTCTTGGGCAACAGAAAATGACTCTGCACCATCCTCTACGTAACAGCCCTTCAAGAGTTATACCCCTCAATCTTAATATTACAATTGTGAGTGTCATCCTACCAAGTTTCAGTAATGCCTATTAGGTCATAGTCTCCTTCCTGTATAAGAACTTCCAAGTTCCTCCTGCTTGTTTCCCATACTCTGAGCATTAGTGTAGAGACATCAGAATCCATGTTTTATGCACCCTGAGGTTTTCATTTCTGTACTTACATGTGAGCTAATGTTATCAAGCATATGTGCCACTCCTTGCAAAACTTTAGAGTTCTTATCTCCAATTACTGGCATCATACTGGGCCTTGCATTTTTGTCTCGCTCCCCCACAGGATTTAGTTTAAAGCTCTCCTTATTAGGTTGCAAGGCTGTTTCCAAAGACATTTTTCCTACCCTCATGAGGTGCAAACTATGTCCTGATAGAAGAGCTTCATCTTGAAAGCATAAGTCATGGTGCAAAAATCCAAACCTTTCCTGATGACACCATCTATGTAGCCAGTCATTGATCTGCAGTATTCTTCTTTCCCTTCCACAGCCTTCGACAGGAAGAACTGACGAGAATACAACCTGCACTCCCAATTCCTTCACCTTTTTACCCAAAGCCACATAGTCTCTTTTAACACATTCTGGGTTGTGCCGGGCAATATAATTTGTTCCCTCGTGAATGAGCAAGAAGGGATAATAATCTGTCGGCTTGATGAGTCTTCCTACCTTTTCCATCACATCCTGGATGTGTGCACCCAGTAAACAGCATACCTCTCGAGATGACCGGTCCACACACTTTAGCTTCTACCCCTCTCAGTAGGGAATCCCCAATTATCTACACACGCCTTCTCCTATATCAGGGAGCAGAGGTTCGAGTACTCTCATCCACAGGGATCTGAGAAGTTTCCTTCAAGCTTTGTGGAGGCTGGGGGAGGAGCCCTTGTTCCAGTGGTTCAAAATCAATACCTGTGGGAAGATACAGGAACCGATTGCTTAGTAACAGAGGCTCAGAATGTCTCTTGATCTTCCTGCTTCTGTGGGTTACATTCTCCCATGTGCCTTCCTCCTGGTTTGGGTGCTTCTCCAGTTAAGAGATACCTTTCCCTCCTTCTCCTCCTGTTGCCCTCTCAGGAGTGCTTCATGTGTTCTTTCCATGAATTCTTCACCTTCCCTTATAAACTGGAGTGTGGACAAGCATGCCTCAAGTCTAGGTATCTCCTCCTCCAGTAGGGCTACCAACTTACACTTGCTGCAAGTGTAATTGCTGTTACCTTCAGGCAGGGTTAGGGTTAGGGTTAAGAGGTGCAGGAGCTCATTAGCATAACTCATTAGCAGAACTTATTTACATATGCCACACCCCCTGACATCACTAGAAGTGTGTCAGACGGCAACACCCACCGCTCAGGCTCCACTGGACTGTTTTGGATTGCTAGCTATTGGGGGGGGGGGAATGTGCAGACCTGTCCTCGCAGAGGAGGGAGAGCTTGTACCTGAATAAAACTTGGTCTTAAAGGGGCCACTCGACTGTTTTGGACCGGGGGCCCTGGAGGAGCTCTGCAACTTACCTGGCTGCTTCTTGCTCTGACTGAGGGCTGCTGGGAGCAGGGGGTGGGGCTTGTTGCATGTGCCCGCCCCCTGGGCTCTTTACTGCCGGAGCTCCGCTCCTGTGCGCTCCTGCCGGAAATGACCCCTGCCCTCAGGTAAGAATACGAACATGTCACAGTCACTATGTTCCCTCTAAGCTGTAGAGTCCTGTGAGCAAAAATTCTACTTTGTGAGCTACTGGCATTAAAGTTGTGAGGAGGTGATTTGGCTACTGCATAAATTAGTTTGCTCTGGAGCCCTCCTTCCTGAGCTAAGACAAAAATGTGTGAGCCGGAGGCTAAAAAACTGAGCTAGCTCACACTAACTCAGCTTAGAGGGAACACTGGTCACAGCCTTTGCGCATCACTGCCTCAGCTACCTCATCACCAGCCATGCTGCTGCAATCCATTTCAAAATTAGTTCAGTTTAACTGACACCTCCTTGATAACTCCCCTGCCAAACTGCCTCTCAAGATTACTTGTGAAAGGTTTGCAAAAGCAAAAACTAACTTAACAGATATAGAATGTAAGACCTACTCAGCTTTCTATGGGGCCCACAGGCCAGACCCCCCCCCCCAGGCTAAGAACCCTTGTGTTCCCGCCAAAGGCTCATGCCTCTGGCATAATATCATTAAAGGCTCACTCAGCAGAGGACGGGGCCAGAAGTCAGCCCCAGGCAGAACTGCTACAAGCTGCAATCAGTTAAACCCAGGCAAAACAGACAAACAGAAACCACACTCCCTCAAACAAGCACCACTTTCCAGCAGGTTATACATTCCCACACACCCTCAAACACTGTCCTCCCACACAGTAAACTCAGTTACTCCTCCTCAGCAGTTAAGGAAAGGCAAATAATAAAACAATCACCACTCTAGTAGCAGCTCCCACTCCTTCCCCTTCTCAGAGCCCACCTGAGCAGTGATGGTGAACCTTTTAGAGACCGAGTGCCCAAACTGCGACCCAAAACCCACTTATTTATCGCAAAGTGCCAACACGGCAATTTAACCTGAATACTGAGGTTTTACTTTAGAAAAAACAACTCATGCATTAACTTAAGATGATCCAAACAAAGTAAGGAAAGCAGTCCCAAACTGGCCACTGTATGACACAGAGTGTTGGACTGGATGGGCCTTTGGCCTGATCCAACATTGGTGTTTCTTATGTTCTTATGCTTTCAGTTACTTAAAATTATTTGGCAGATAATTCGACACTATAATGATGGTCTGGGCCTGGCTGGGGCGATGGCACGCGTGCCCACAGAGATGGCTCTGAGTGCCACCTCTGGCACCCGTGCCATAGGTTCGCCACCACTGATATATAGTGTTTATTTTTTAAAAAAATTATATCATGCTCTTCTTGTGGCACAGAGAAAGAGTCCAGTAGTACCTTAAAGACTAACAAAGCATGTGGCAGGGCATGAGCTTCCATGAGTCACTCCTCACCTCTTCAGAGGCAG